TACTCCAATAATTCTCCAAAAAGGAACGGTTTTTTCTAAAAAACTCTCTTAAACCTTGAAAAATTGAAGTCTGGGTAAACCATAATATTAGATGTATCTAAATTTTAAATAATATTCTTTTACTGCAAAGCGGTGTTAAAAAAAGGATATCTTGTATTTTTAACCTAAATTTCTTTAAATATATAATCTGAACAATACTTTTTTTTGATTTCCCATAGACGGATAGAACAATCACTACTACCAGAAGCTAATGTATTTCCATCAGGAGAGAAACAGACTGAATTTATTAATTTTTATAAAATGAGGGCAGTTCAGTTCATATTAAGAGCGGGGGGATATGTTTGGCCCTTTTCATGCTCTTAAAATTGTATAATTGCTTTTATCACTGTTTTTATCCCCTAATTTATATTTAGGAGGCGCTTTCCTAACTAAAACTTGTTAATATTTGGAGCTCTATTAAATTTCCCTTCTATTTTTGTTACTCTAGGTTTGCATCTCTTATTTATTAGGTGATTAAAGAGCCGATAAAACTTATTACTCCTAAGATCCATTTTTTTAGTATTTCTGAGATGAAAATTTCTGGAGCTTATTCTCAAACAACTCGAAGCAATATTTGTTATATATATTATGTCTTGAGAGCACCTCTCCATCAATAAGGCTTTTGTAGTGAAGAAAAATCTTGACCCATTTACAATTTCTCAACCTTCAAGTATTAAATTGTGTATTTAAGCCATATTGAAAAAAAATTCAAAATTTTTTAAGAAATAGTAAATTTTTAGAGCAATTTGAAAGTAAAATAAAAAAAATATTGAATATTATTAATGAGTTGGTAGGAGCAAAAAAAAATAATGTATTTTCTAAAATAGATTTTTACTTCACTCTATAAATTACAATCTTATAGTAATAATTAAACAAACATTATATTACTACTTCTCATAAAAAATATTTCTCTTCCAATTGAGATTAAAAATTTGAGCCTACTAAATCAGAGTTTGAGCAATGGGAGGAATATAGTAATTGGGTCAGGGGTGCATCAATCCTTAATAAGATTAGGGATATCTTCTAAAGTGGCCAGACTTTGATATATTCAGTAAACAAGAAATATAAATTAAATAAATAACAAAATTCTTACTACTTTTGAATGTGTATGTTTTACTTAACTTTTATTTTAGTTCTTGAAAAGACTTACATAAAATTCTTAAAAATTCATCCAAACCTATAATAATGAAGATAATAGAGTTAATTTAGTATGTTTGGCTACATTGAAAGGATAATTGATAGAGAGAGAAAAGCAATTTTGCTAGGTGTTCTGATTGTCCTTCTGAAAATTGAGGTACTATTTTATTTTTTTGAACATTTTTTAATGCAAATTTCTTTTTAAATTATCACACTAAATTGATCATTATTTTCTGTATATTCGCAAAATTTTATCCGAATATTATTTTCAACTTTAAGAAAAATTTAATGTTGTTAATAATCTAATTGTCAAAAAATCTAATAAAAACATAATTTCCAGAATTACTTCGATTATTTGGATTATCATTTTAATTTCCATTCAAAATAATGGTATTTCACTTTTTTCTTCTACCTTAAGACTTCTTTTAACACATCAACTCTCTCCTTCTCTTAAATGAAAATAAAGCACTTTAACACTCTAACTAAGTCAATTTCACTTTATGCTTATTTTCCTTAAAATACAATTTAATAATAAAAAATTTAGAAGTCTCTTTTATTTGCCACTAGAATTATATATTATAAATAAATGAATACAAATTCAATATATTGTTAATAATTTATTTATCTACTTCTCTTTAATTATGCCTCTACATATAAATTACTTAATATTATTATCAATTATTGTCTTTTTTAATTTATCAATTAACATTTAAGGCGAGACAAATTCAATATTTATAAATTGACCATATTTATAACAATAACAATTTTAAAATTATTTTTCTAAAGTTTTATCTAATCATTACATATAATTCTTTACCTCTCCTTTTCATTTATGGAGAAAATAATAAAGTATTTTGCAATGTAAAATATGAGATTCATTATAAATAACATTTTCCAGCAAAATATGCATAACAAATAAGTATAATTCAATTTCCTTATTTAATAAATTATTTACTATTTTTAAGTATTTTATTAATTTCAATTTTATTATGAACTAAACATTATTTGAAAGGTGGGTCATGGATCAACTGAATCAAAATGAGGATACACAAAAGACTAAGGTCAAAAGAGAAAAGAAGAAACCTAAATCAAAAGAATATTAATAAAATATAAAAGAAATGACTGAATTAGAAGTATTATTTAGTCAAATGACTCTATCTGATAAAAAGTAGAAACAGTAATCTATAATAAAAGTTGATTTTGAATAACTTTCTGATTTTTCGAGTGTTTAAAACGAAGAATTCTTGAAATGGCTTTTGTCTTAGTTGAGGCTTCTTTTCTCATAAAGAAAAGTTACCTTAGCGCAAAATAAGATAGATTCTCTTTTTAATTTGTTATTTGATGAAAAAGAAATTGAATTCTTAGAATAAGGGATTTGTTCAAGATTAGGAATAGAGAATGATTCTTTCAGCACATAAGAATAAAAGATCTTTCTAAAGAATATCTTTAATAACATTTTTGAAGTTTGATTTGATATATTTTATACATATTAACAACCTATTTCCAATCCATATGTTAAAATAAAGGTGTTGAGGAGTCTAATAAATAAATGCTTATGACGATAATCCATAATAATTTTTCTCAGCATTTCTTTTTAAACAGTTTGTATATANAATGTGTATGTTTTACTTAACTTTTATTTTAGTTCTTGAAAAGACTTACATAAAATTCTTAAAAATTCATCCAAACCTATAATAATGAAGATAATAGAGTTAATTTAGTATGTTTGGCTACATTGAAAGGATAATTGATAGAGAGAGAAAAGCAATTTTGCTAGGTGTTCTGATTGTCCTTCTGAAAATTGAGGTACTATTTTATTTTTTTGAACATTTTTTAATGCAAATTTCTTTTTAAATTATCACACTAAATTGATCATTATTTTCTGTATATTCGCAAAATTTTATCCGAATATTATTTTCAACTTTAAGAAAAATTTAATGTTGTTAATAATCTAATTGTCAAAAAATCTAATAAAAACATAATTTCCAGAATTACTTCGATTATTTGGATTATCATTTTAATTTCCATTCAAAATAATGGTATTTCACTTTTTTCTTCTACCTTAAGACTTCTTTTAACACATCAACTCTCTCCTTCTCTTAAATGAAAATAAAGCACTTTAACACTCTAACTAAGTCAATTTCACTTTATGCTTATTTTCCTTAAAATACAATTTAATAATAAAAAATTTAGAAGTCTCTTTTATTTGCCACTAGAATTATATATTATAAATAAATGAATACAAATTCAATATATTGTTAATAATTTATTTATCTACTTCTCTTTAATTATGCCTCTACATATAAATTACTTAATATTATTATCAATTATTGTCTTTTTTAATTTATCAATTAACATTTAAGGCGAGACAAATTCAATATTTATAAATTGACCATATTTATAACAATAACAATTTTAAAATTATTTTTCTAAAGTTTTATCTAATCATTACATATAATTCTTTACCTCTCCTTTTCATTTATGGAGAAAATAATAAAGTATTTTGCAATGTAAAATATGAGATTCATTATAAATAACATTTTCCAGCAAAATATGCATAACAAATAAGTATAATTCAATTTCCTTATTTAATAAATTATTTACTATTTTTAAGTATTTTATTAATTTCAATTTTATTATGAACTAAACATTATTTGAAAGGTGGGTCATGGATCAACTGAATCAAAATGAGGATACACAAAAGACTAAGGTCAAAAGAGAAAAGAAGAAACCTAAATCAAAAGAATATTAATAAAATATAAAAGAAATGACTGAATTAGAAGTATTATTTAGTCAAATGACTCTATCTGATAAAAAGTAGAAACAGTAATCTATAATAAAAGTTGATTTTGAATAACTTTCTGATTTTTCGAGTGTTTAAAACGAAGAATTCTTGAAATGGCTTTTGTCTTAGTTGAGGCTTCTTTTCTCATAAAGAAAAGTTACCTTAGCGCAAAATAAGATAGATTCTCTTTTTAATTTGTTATTTGATGAAAAAGAAATTGAATTCTTAGAATAAGGGATTTGTTCAAGATTAGGAATAGAGAATGATTCTTTCAGCACATAAGAATAAAAGATCTTTCTAAAGAATATCTTTAATAACATTTTTGAAGTTTGATTTGATATATTTTATACATATTAACAACCTATTTCCAATCCATATGTTAAAATAAAGGTGTTGAGGAGTCTAATAAATAAATGCTTATGACGATAATCCATAATAATTTTTCTCAGCATTTCTTTTTAAACAGTTTGTATATATAGCTTTGATAATTTATAACTACAATAGCCAACAAAATTAAAAAAAAAAACAAGTTTTTTTTTGCCCTAATTACATAAAATTAGTTTTATCTGCTTGACATTGGTGTAACTCTTTTTGTTTTGGAGTATTATAAATTATTGAAAAAAAAAATTTATATATTCACATTACTTGACAGAATCCCTTGAGGATGTAACTTTGCATTTAAACCAAAACTCATTAAGATAAATTACAAAAAATAATAAGAATTATTATGATAATTTTTGTTCATAGTAAATGCTTTAAGGATTCTGCTGTTCCTAAGATAATTGCTAGTAGTGAAACAATCATTATAATTAAATAATGAATAATAGGTTTAGTTGCTTTGGAATTTTTAAAATAGATAATATGAACGATTACAGGAAAACAGAACTAAATCATAAATTATATAGTACTTGTAATAAAGATCCAAAGATGCTTCCAATAAAATTTAGAAAGTGTGATAGATGAGGTACATAATAGGCAATAAAATAAATAGTGATTACCAGCATACTTCTTATAATCATTTATAAGAATCTATCTTCAAAAACTTTATCATCTTTTTCAACTGCAATGTCATCAATTTTATCTCTAGTAGAGGCAATATTCTTTGATATTGGAGATTCTTCAAAAGAATTTTCTTAAATATCATTGAAACTGATAAATTCTACCATATCCTTTAAAAACATTTATTCCACAATTTGAACAGCTGGAAACAGCTGAAGTGGAAAAGTTAAAAGCAAACTAATTGAGTATAAAAGCAACGAAATGACTTCTAAGATAGGGTTCTTTTTTTAATTTGAAAAAATACTTGAATACTAAATAACAAAATTGATCGCGTTTCAGATTAATAGGTAGAGGAACTAATTAATGATAAAAATATTGAAATTCCAAATGCAGTCATTAAACTTGAGGTAGCAACTGATTTAAATTAAAATTTATTCTTCATGCTATCTCTGATAGGTAAAACTGTAAAAATTCCTTCACAACAAAGAATAGCTACTCCAACATAATTAAAAGTGTCTAATTAATTAATTATAATAATTACTTTTGAAGTTTATTAAATTTGAAAAATAAAAGTTTCCAAATGAGAGCCTATTTTGGCAATCGTACAATATGATGCAGAAAGAAGCCAAAGCAGAATAAAAGCCATATTTGCTGGTTGAATGGAAAAAATGAATATTTCTTACAAATGATAAGGGAATGACAATAATTAATGTAATTAACAAACATTACAATTTTTCCATTTGAATACCTATTTGAAGTAAAGACTAAGCCAAGGATTCTGTTAAAAAAATCAAATAGGCTATACAAAGTCCAATTAATTGCAATATTATGGCAATATCCAAAATATGTGCCCAAAGTGATCCTAAAGTCTATTTTATAATATCTGCATAGAGTATATTATCGGTATTCAGATCATCTGCAATTTCAATCATAAATTGACTAGATCTACCATAAATTATAGAAAGAAAAATTTACTGTAAACAACTAAAGGCAATAGGAATGAATAATGCAATAGACCAGAGAAAGCCAACTTAATAAGTGACAAAAGGAAGAACGATGACACCTTAGAATATCAAATAAAATAGAATACCTATTCCTAAATTTGATTTAATAAAATTGAAATAAGCCTGACGAGCAGTAGATTTATGTTATTTGACATGACTCACTTTATTGGAATCTTCAATTTCTCTATTATCCATTCTTCTTTTTTTGATAATTGAAAATATTCTATATAATTAATAGCTATTTAGAATTACACAAAGTATAAATAAATCTCTGAATTAACAGAAATTATGTATAAATTCTATGGAAATAAATTAAAAATTTTAAAGCATTTAGAACAATTATATGATTAATGCAATAACAGTATATTATATCATGTATTAAATTATACAAATGAATCGCTTGATGAAGACTCAAAAAAAGAATAAAGAAAAAATTTAAGAGTTGAAAAATTACTATATGAAAAGATTTCGAGTCAAAAGTTCTGTTAGATAGTGTAGAAATAAAAAGATTAATTGTAACAACTAATTGTAGAGTGATTGATTTCGATGATAATCCTTGTATGAATTAGGCTTACAAATATATGTAAGTTCAGCTTCACTAAAAATCAGGAATAATAACAATAAGATTTCTTCTATCTTCTAAGAAGATTAGATATTGGATATAAATAAAAATATTAAGAACAGAATGCAATTTTAAATCACAAATTAGACTTTTTGATGGACGATACTGTAAATTATATGAAGTAAGATTAGATTTAAATCAATAAATGAGTGAAGTGTATAAGAGATTTAGAAGAAAGTGGAAAAGCATTTAATGGCTAGGGGTCAATATCAGTTGCTTAATTAGAGGTTAGAAATAATTTTCTTATTGATGTTGTTAAAAGTTTGGATTAAAATTTATTATTGGTCGAAAAATTAGTAAAAAGGGGGAAAGAGTAAACTATGTAAACAAAGATTAGAGGGAAATGAAATTGTATTTTACAAATTTTCATTACAATTATTGTTATAATTTATCTCTTTTGCGCTTTTGTGAAACAATTAAATTGAGATTTATATTGAATTATTAATTATAAATATAACTAACCTAAAATTATATGGAAGATTAGTGGTTTCTAAATGGAAAGAAAGTAATAAAATAACAAATGCTTTCAAAATCATCACATCAGATAATTAATGGTGTCTCAATAACATTAGAAGCTTCATTTGGATGCTTATAGAATCCAATAAGAAAGAACTGTATGTTTGTGAATGATGACACACTCATGTTTATAAGTGGCAAGCATATAGTGCTCTATGACATAATTAGAAAGAGATAAACATACATAATGAAGAGCGCTGAAGATGAAGTGGTTTAAGCATTGAGTTTTCATGTTTCACATGGATAAAAATTGTTCATTGCAATAGCATTCAAATCAACAAGCAAGATTCTTCCCACCGTCAAGGTATATAATAGAAAAAAGAAGCGATTCTATTAATGTGTACACTCTCATTTATTACCTAATAGTAATATTCATGAGATTCTGTTTATTAATGATGGAAAGGTACCATATAGATTGATAATTAGCATCTAATCTCATTGTCAACTTAGGAGGATGGTTATGGAATGAGTTTGTTTGCAGTTAGTAAAGAAGTTTCACTTTCTTATACTCTCATAAAATAAAAAATTAATATGCTAGAATCTATTAGTGATTTCGAATTTTTTCTGATAGGACCATAATTTCTGACATCATATAAATATTAAGCTGATATTAGTGGCTTAGAAATTTAGAATAATTTAATAACTGTACTAGAGCTATAATTAGATGAAAATATAGTGGGAGTTTGTTATAATTCTGAAAAGAAATATGCCATTGTTGCAACTAGCAAAAACAATCTCATCATGATTAAAGGAGATAAGAATGTCGCAAAATTCGAATTACAAACACAATAGAAAGAATCAAATCATTTATTATGTAATCATCATTAGATATCAATTATAGAATAAATTAATAAGGATAAAAATAAACCAACTGAATAAGAGAAATTAGTGAATGTTCGAATCTCTACTATAGCAAAGACCAACAAAGGATTCATAATTGGTTTAATAGGGAAGCCTGCATTATAAGTTTATGAAATTGAATAAGATGCTTCAGAACAAGAACAATATATTTTAAATTTGGTCGGTTCTTACTTTATAAAGGATGAACATATTTATGGAATTNTATAAGAGATTTAGAAGAAAGTGGAAAAGCATTTAATGGCTAGGGGTCAATATCAGTTGCTTAATTAGAGGTTAGAAATAATTTTCTTATTGATGTTGTTAAAAGTTTGGATTAAAATTTATTATTGGTCGAAAAATTAGTAAAAAGGGGGAAAGAGTAAACTATGTAAACAAAGATTAGAGGGAAATGAAATTGTATTTTACAAATTTTCATTACAATTATTGTTATAATTTATCTCTTTTGCGCTTTTGTGAAACAATTAAATTGAGATTTATATTGAATTATTAATTATAAATATAACTAACCTAAAATTATATGGAAGATTAGTGGTTTCTAAATGGAAAGAAAGTAATAAAATAACAAATGCTTTCAAAATCATCACATCAGATAATTAATGGTGTCTCAATAACATTAGAAGCTTCATTTGGATGCTTATAGAATCCAATAAGAAAGAACTGTATGTTTGTGAATGATGACACACTCATGTTTATAAGTGGCAAGCATATAGTGCTCTATGACATAATTAGAAAGAGATAAACATACATAATGAAGAGCGCTGAAGATGAAGTGGTTTAAGCATTGAGTTTTCATGTTTCACATGGATAAAAATTGTTCATTGCAATAGCATTCAAATCAACAAGCAAGATTCTTCCCACCGTCAAGGTATATAATAGAAAAAAGAAGCGATTCTATTAATGTGTACACTCTCATTTATTACCTAATAGTAATATTCATGAGATTCTGTTTATTAATGATGGAAAGGTACCATATAGATTGATAATTAGCATCTAATCTCATTGTCAACTTAGGAGGATGGTTATGGAATGAGTTTGTTTGCAGTTAGTAAAGAAGTTTCACTTTCTTATACTCTCATAAAATAAAAAATTAATATGCTAGAATCTATTAGTGATTTCGAATTTTTTCTGATAGGACCATAATTTCTGACATCATATAAATATTAAGCTGATATTAGTGGCTTAGAAATTTAGAATAATTTAATAACTGTACTAGAGCTATAATTAGATGAAAATATAGTGGGAGTTTGTTATAATTCTGAAAAGAAATATGCCATTGTTGCAACTAGCAAAAACAATCTCATCATGATTAAAGGAGATAAGAATGTCGCAAAATTCGAATTACAAACACAATAGAAAGAATCAAATCATTTATTATGTAATCATCATTAGATATCAATTATAGAATAAATTAATAAGGATAAAAATAAACCAACTGAATAAGAGAAATTAGTGAATGTTCGAATCTCTACTATAGCAAAGACCAACAAAGGATTCATAATTGGTTTAATAGGGAAGCCTGCATTATAAGTTTATGAAATTGAATAAGATGCTTCAGAACAAGAACAATATATTTTAAATTTGGTCGGTTCTTACTTTATAAAGGATGAACATATTTATGGAATTCATTAAATTCATTTGGCTACAGATGAGATGTATGCAGCATTAACAGTTATTTACTTTAATCGCTCTGCATATCAAGTAGCTTTAGGGTCATAGTAAGTACTGAATAATATTGTTTCTTGTGAATAAATCTTGGAAAATTATCAGGGAAAACTAGAATTGTTTACATTTAATTTAGCTATAGTTGAAGCTTTGAAGTCAGTTCAAAAAGATCCATTTGAACCATTATTTGAGAAGGGTGTTCACAAGGGAACAATTTTCAATATTGCAACAACTCCTATGAGATCTATAATAGCATCTGTGTGTGATGATAAGAATATAAAATTTTGGGATTATTCGAATGATTTTAAGGAAATGTTCTCACATTAATTTCATGAAACTCCATTATCAGTGGCTATACATCCATTAAGTTATTAATGTGCAATTGGATTTAAGGATGGGTAATGAAATTATTAATTTTTATTCACTAGTCTTCGATTCTATTTTATTCTAGATGATGATCTTAAATTAGTCCATAACGAAACTACCAAAGTTTGTAATGCACTCACTTATAGTGAAGGAGGACATATATTGGCTGCTGCGAATGGTAATCAAATTCAATTGTATAATCCATTAACATATAAAATGATAAATGTCTTGCCTAATCATCAAACAAATCTCAAGGATCTACTATTTATAGATAGAGTATTAAAATTCATAAAATATATATAAGGATAATCTTTTAATTTCCTAATGTCAATTTGGAATATTATATGTTTGGAATTTACTTTCTGGAGAAAGAATTTTAGAACACGCTCAAAAGCAAAACAAATATCAAAGTTTATGTTATGACTTTGAATACGATCTTGTTATAGGAGTTTCGGATTAGAAATTAAAGGTGTATCATGAGAAGGGTTAGAACATGGTCTTAGAAGTGGATACTTCTCCTACATAATTTAGTGCGATATGTATTAGTCATAGATATAATGCAATCTTTTTTGGAACTACTTAAGGGTCTATTAGAGTATACTCCTATCCATTTTACCATTTCAATCCTAAAATGATGGAGTCCATTGAAATTCCTGTCCATTAATTAGCTGTCACAGCAATTAAAGTATCTCCTGATAATAGTTATTTAATAAGTTCATCAATCGATGGCAGTATTTTCTTCAGTAAAATCAAACAGTTTATTAATGGAGAAGAAGTAATCAATATTTAATAATACTAGATTACATAATTGGATTTGATAACTAGAGGTGATATAGAAAATAAGATTACCAATACTTTTGCACTTAATAGTTTGTGTTTATGCTCAACAACAGCTTAAGAAATAAGGTAAGAGCAACTGAAAGAATTAGAATATAGATTGTAAAATTTTAAAAGTGATATTGATGATGCTAAGGAGGTTTAACTGAATAATAATGACTATAAACTAAAGAAAATACGAGATGAACATACTAAAGAGATTCAAAAAGTCTAAGATTTATTATCTTAAACAATTTAATAATCAGATGCCAAAAACAACAAGATTAAAGAGGATAAAAAGAATTTAATTTCAACTTCTAAGAAAACTATTGAGGAGATGAATGAATAAAATTCAAAGAAATTGTTGTAGATCTATGATATAAGAGACAAATTGAATGAGAAATTATAAAATATTATTAAACAGTAAGATGAAGAAAGACGACTAGTTAATTAAGAATATTAATAATCAATATCTTAGGTTGATGATGAATACTGCTAAAAATATTAAGACTTATTCAATAGATTCAGTTAAGCTATGTCCAATATGAAATTGGATCAAAGAAAATTTAAAGAAGTCTTGTAGTAAAGTGAGAAAGATTACGAAACTTTTTACAAAGAATCATAACAGTCCTTAAAGGCAAAATTAGAAGAATTTAACACTCAAACAGAAATATTGAGATCTAGTATTTCTAGATTTAAAAAAGAAATTGTCAGATATTAAAATAGAAAAGAAATCTTGCATAATTTAAAAAAAGGTAGAGACTTCATAAAATAAGTTAGAAACTGAGGAATCTTTGTAGAGTCTGCGTTAAGAATTAAAAGGGTATGAAGAAAAACATAAGATGATGTTGGCAGATCTAAGAGAGAAAGAGAAACTTATAAATTAAAGAGAATAACAAATAAAAGATTTTAGAATGAAAAATGTTCATTTATAAAACTTTTAAAAAGTGTATGATTATAGAGTAAACACTTTAAAAGATGAAAGAGAACCTTTAATGGATCATCTAAAAAATATGGAAGTAATGATTCATACTTATTCATCAAGAAACATGTTAAGAACCTTTATAATGAATTGATAGAAGAATCAGGGTTAAAGCAATCTCGAATTGAGGAAGAAAGAAAATTAATTACAGATTTAAATATATTTAAAAACCAACTAAAGTCTGCCTTAACTGTTTTATCTTTATCCAAAAGAAATATGGAGAACTTTAAGTCTTCGATATAAACATTAATAAATAGTGATACTGGAGATTGGCCAGAAAAATTAGAGGAATTATATCACATGGTGTAAAAAGAAAATAGTAAGGCAATCACAATTAAAAATCCAGTGTTTTAGGAAACTTTAAAGGATATGTAAAAGGATCCTCTATAATAATAAATTGATCAAAGTTAATAAAATGCTATTTATAAAGCATTGTCAAGTCAGAAATAATATCTACAATAAAGTCTTTCTGAAGTTGAGGCTTCAGTCAAATATCAACTTGGCTAAAGAGAAGTAGCATATGACACGATTTAAGACTAAAACAAACATCTGATAAAGTAATGCAAAGAATTGAGAGAGAAGAAATAGGAACTGAAATCATAATTAGATAGTATGAACAAGGAATATAGAGAGAAAAAGAGGGAATTAAACAGTTAGGGAATAGAAATTCCAGAAGAAAATGAAGATGATAATCAATTTGCCAGGACCTACGCTACAACCTTTACTTCAATTACAAGAACACCTGGAACAAAGTCATAATAAAATTTTAGAACTAAAATTATTAGAAATATAGGATGATAATTATTCAATCTTAATTATTTATTTTAAATATAAAAATACTCTATTTCACCATTATGAATTGTGAAGAGTATTAGTTCAACTATATAATGATTGAAGAAGCTAATGAATAAAATTCCCCAATAAAATTCCATAAAATACAAAAAAAACAGGGTTCATAGATTGAGGCATATTATATAATGAGAGAAACAAATCTATAATATTTTAGAAACGAATCACATGCCAAGGCTATGCTTAATCTCAGACTTTTTAACATTCTCTAACCACATGAAATCATTATCCATTAGAATTAAATTCTAATTATTATGAAGGATTGGAAACAATATCGTTTGATTGAAAATTAATTGAATCTCTAAAACATTTAGAGTATCCTCTTTTAGTTGGCAATAAGTAAAAAATCCATATTTAACTTAGCCTTAAATGAATTAAGTCTAAAAAAAATTACTTGGAATATTTAATCCATCTAGTAATTGTATTTGATTTAAGGCTGTGTTTTTCTTTAATTAATAGATCTAGAAGATTCACACTTTAATATGAATATTCCAAACATTGATATTTTTAAAAGCTTCGTACGTAAATACTTTCCGTAATTTAATTAAATTCTAGACATATAAATGGACGATTTTGAAAAAATAATAAAATATTTGCTATCTATAATTCAAGGTTTGAAAATAAATTAATAAAGTCATTATGGATTAAATCATTTTTTTTAAATTAAGCAAATATCATCTTCATAAGGCATGGAAGATATTTATGCTGTTGAATTCAACACACCAAAAATATTTGAAACTGTTTTCTAAATTAATTCAAAGACTCTCTTATATAGATGCTA